TTTTCGGTGCTCTGGAAAGTAGCAAGCTATCGGTACTTGCGACAATTCCCCTCAACGAGACCCCAACCCGCAGAAAACAATTAAATCCAGAGTTAATTCCCTGGACAGGGCTGCGGAACAAAACCGACAATTAACTCTGAAGTTAAGTGTCTCCTTCCTATACCCGGACAAAACAATTAAATCCAGAGTTTATTGTCTGGAGAGAGCGTTGACGAACCCCCGAAGCCAAAACAATTAACTTTCAAGTTAATTGTTTTAAACTTCTGTTTTCATTGTTTTTCACTGGCCCAGACTCAGACAAAGCGGAGACAACAGTTTACATTGAGTTTATGAAGGGAAACAAATCCGGCTAGTCCCCGGCGAAACACGTCCCAGCATCCGGCTCCCAGACTCAGACAGAACGGAGACAACAGCGGAGACAACAGTTTAAATTGAGATTATGAAGGGAAACAAATCCGACTACTCCCGGCGAGGCGTCACAGCATCTGGATCCCTCACTCAGACAGAGCGGAGACAACATCGGAGACAAGAGTTTACATTGAGTCTATGAAGGGAGACAAATCCGGCTAGTCCCGGCAAGGCGCGTCACAACATCCGGCTCCCAGACTCAGACAGAGCAAGAACAACAGGTTAAATTCCGACTCCCAGGCTCAGACAGAGCGGAGACAACAGCTTAAATTGAGATTTTCTCAATTTAGATTGAGATATATAAAGGGAGACAAATCCGGCTAGTCCCCGGCGAGGCGTGTCACAGCATCCGGCTCCCAGACTCAGATAGAGCAGAGACAACAACTTAGATTGAAATTATGACTAGAGACAAATCCGGCTAGTCCCCGGTAAAACACATCTTACTATCCCTTTCTTTGAATAAATTAAGATCCTCAATACTTCGCTGTTTGGGGAATAATCAAAAAACGAAAATCGATAATAACAAACCTTAGACCATAAATTCCGATATTAAATTCTCTCGACCCTTTAGCCAAATCAAATATGTTTTTTTAATCAATACTAATTTCAAAATCAAATATTTATTCTCAATATTCAATTATTTTATATATATTCTAATTTAATGCCGAAAAAATTGCTATTAATTTATTACTAAGAGAAATATTTTCATATCAATAATTTATTCTTATCTAAATTCAAAAAAATATCGAAGACCTAATCATCTAAATTTAATAAGAATATCATCAAATTTTTTCACGAAGAAAAATACAATAAGAATATCTTGCTTCCAAATATTGATTTCGTAGAAATTCGAGATTTTTTTTCGTAAATCTCCCCATTCGAATATTTCATAGAAATATAATTTATTAAATCAGAATCATCTATCATATCAATATAAGACAAAGATATTCCAAAATATTAATCCGAGAAATCTAGTCAATATTAGATAACAATATCCAATAGATAATTCCAAATTCAAGGATTCGATGAAGACCAACATATATAGAATATTTAGATCGATTTTATTGCCTCCTCGAATTTATGAGGTATAATGAATTTAGTCTGCCTGGAAATAATGACCTTAACTACTACATATGGGATTAAGATGATGTGAAATCTGAAGCAATATAATGCGTTTATAATAGGTCATATTGAATCTATGATCGTTTCAACGATTCCGATCCCTCTTGATAATTGGTTTTCTTATGGCATTGGATCACATTAGCTCGGATTGTCCATTTCGGTCACTACTGTGTCGCAGCAGCAAACCTTCGGTTGCCGCGGCTGGCTGCTGTCACGCCACCTCACGCGGATCTTCCACAATCCGGTGTACACATGCATGCATGTTGTCGTGGCCAGGCAAAAGCTGCTGCCTTTGACCGCCTCTTCATCACGATCCCAAGCAATTCCAGCAGGGGCATGGTCATAACTCACGAGCGGATGTTTCACGGATTCTTTGCTCGGTTGAATTCGCAATCCGTCATGGAAGAGCCGCTGAGAAACTTTGCTTGCAGGCCAGAACGACAAGCAACAGCAGCTATCTACTGCACATAGCTCAGCTTGCAAGCTACCACTGCCTAGAGTTCGTGCACTACACGACTTTGCAAAGAGCCGTCCCTGCTAGCAGCATGGCTGCAACGCGATTGCCACCCTGCAGCACTGCAACACCATTGCCCGATACAACACCAAGTGAGACGCGTTGGCAACTACTGAGAGCAAGTGAAACATAGCATCATCTGTGAGCTGCCCCCCGCAAGCATGCAGCAGGTGTCCGGCTCCAAGACTTGCATTGAAATAGACAAACAGCATCTGAACAGGATGTCGAGTTGGCCTTCAAGGCTCTCCAGCTGCCCTATGTCTTTTCGGACCACTCCCAGAACAATCTCGGCCTAGGTCCTGAAACCCCCACATACACTCTTCCTAGCCTTCAGGAACTTGGGATGGCTACCCCCAAGTGCAGAGAGTCTGTTGCTCGCTTGTTGATGACACTTCTCGTTTATGCCTCACGTCAGGGTTTGTCCCAGGCCTCCTTTCTGTGCTGGTTTCAGTGCTT